TTCGCCGACCCCCGACTCGAGTACAAGGATATAGCCGTCGGTATTAGCTTTTCCACCATCAACTATTGCCCATGGCGCGGAAGTCCGTTTCCGCGAGATCGCTTTGAAAGGAATGACGAATGCATATGACGCCTGCGTTGGGGTCGCCGTTACAAGTAGCTGCAGTTGTTGTGCGTCTCTGTATTAGCGTCGGGTTTGTTAATTGTAAGTGCGGTTTCATTGTCCAGCCTTCTCATCATAGTCTAGGCGCCTTATAGTCTAGGCGGTTAGGAGAGGCTGCTCTCACACAGCAGACCCGGGTTCGAGTCCCCGGTGTGAGCAACATCTTTTGCTTTTCTTTCTATCTGCTCTTCTGTTTCGTCTACCTTGCACGCCTTTCACAGCGAGATTACAACAAGCGCGTCGTAGTCACTCGGTTAGGTTAACGTCAAACCTACCGTCTGTGTCTTTTCACAGTGGAGTGTCGCCACTGTCATCAGCGATGACCTTTCCTCGGACGCCCACTAGCGTCAACCGGCTGAACCGAGCCAAAGGACGGCAAGGTGGCCTCGAGCAGCGTGTAATAAATATGTCGTCCCGACGAGACGATGAATAGCGTCGATGAGTTTTTGCGGCTCAACAAAGGCAATGAGCGGAGTCGTGTCCGTGAGAGCGCTTGGAAGGATGGCGAGTGCGTATGAAGCGTGCGTTTGGGGCGTGGTTGCAGTGGTTGCAGTGGTTGTGCGTGTGTGTATTTGCGTTGGGTTTGTTATTTTAAGTGCGGTTTCATTGTTCAGCCTTCCCATATAGTCTAGGCGGTTCGGATAGCTGGCTCTCACCCAGCAGACCCGGGTTCGAGTCCCGGTGTGGGAACATCTTTTGCTTTTCTTTCTTTCTGCTTCTTCTGTTTCGTCTACCTTGCACGCTTTCACACCGAGATTACAACAAGCGCGTCGTAGTCACTCGGTTAGGTTAACGTCAAACCTACCGTCTGGGTCTTTTCACGGTGGAGTGTCGCCACTGTCATCAGCAATGACCTTTCCTCGGACGCCCACTAGCGTCAACCGGCCGAACCGAGCCAAAGGACGGCAAGGTGGCCTCGAGCAGCGTGTAATAAATATGTCGTCCCGACGAGACGATGAATAGCGTCGATGAGTTTTTGCGGCTCAACAAAGGCAATGAGCGGAGTCGTGTCCGTGAGAGAGCTTGGAAAGATGGCGAGTGCGTATGAAGCGTGCGTTTGGGGCGTGGTTGCAGTGGTTGTGCGTGTGTGTATTTGCGTTGGGTTTGTTATTTTGAGTGCGGTTTCATTGTTCAGCCTTCCCATATGTCTAGGCGGTTAGGATACCTGGCCCTCACCCAGCAGACCCGGGTTCGAGTCCCGGTGTGGGAACATCTTTTGCTTTTCTTTCTATCTGCTTCTTCTATTTCGTCTACCTTGGACGCTTTCACACCGAGATTACAACAAGCGCGTCGTAATCACTCGGTAAGTTTCGCCTGCGAGTCCCTTACACTCCTGTATGTAGTAATGCCAAACCTACCGTCTGGGCCTTTTCACGGTGGAGTGTCGCCACTGTCATCAGCGATGACCTTTCCTCGGACGCCCACTAGCGTCAACCGGCTGAACCGAGTCAAAGGACGGCAAGGTGGCCTCGAGCAGCGTGTAATAAATATGTCGTCCCGACGAGACGATGAATAGCGTCGATGAGTTTTTGCGGCTCAGCAAAGGCAATGAGCGGAGTCGTATCCGTGAGCGTGCTTGGAACGATGGCGAGTGTGTATGAAGTGTGCGTTTGGGGCGTGGCTGCAGTGGTTGCAGTGGTTGTGCGTGTGTGTATTTGCGTTGGGTTTGTTATTTTGAGTGCGGTTTCATTGTTCAGCCTTCCCATATAGTCAAGGCGGTTCGGATAGCTGGCTCTTGCCCAGCAGACCCGGGTTCGAGTCCCGGTGTGGGAACATCTTTTGCTTTTCTTTCTATCTGCTTCTTCTATTTCGTCTACCTTGCACGCTTTCTCAGCGAGATTACAACAAGCGCGTCG